TACCTCAATAGGTACCCACAAACTTCCAGAGGAGGAATTTCCCACATTTTAAATCAAGATTGTTTGTACCTATGAAGGTGTCTGTACACATGTGTGAAGATGTCTCAAAACTCACTGTTGCAGTCTCCTCATTTTATTGCACATCTTCGTCATCTGAGCTGCTAGAGTCCCAAGCACTAGGCAGTTGAAAAGTGACTGAAACATCAGGCAGTAGTACGATGTCAGACTGCCCCTCTCAATCACAGACACTTTTCTTGATTGATAACCAAGGGGAGGAAGGTAGAGGTGCAAGGTTCCCTAAAATGCTTTTGCTACTATTTTTTTTTTTTTTTAGATGCAATCCCTAACTCAGCCAGCCAGTTGCTTTCAAAGTGGGTTGTAAGTAGACTGTATTGGATCAGCAATTCCAGGACACTGGGTGATGTTTTCTTGCATCCAATAGAAGATACTAGGCATCTGACTCTTTTCTGTCTTATGACTAATCTCAAAAAAGGGTGTTTGTATTGCATGTCTTAGAGACAGACAAATTTCTCAACCTCAGAACTGCTAGCCAGAAATCATCTTGCATGACTGCAACCACCAGGACATACACCACATGTGGAAGGAGGACAAGAAGCTGCTATTGGAGTAGTTAGCAGGAGGGGGCTTACACTAGATTCCCAAGGAGGTCCTCCTGGGTGCCCTATAGTGACATACTGTGGTAGTCACAGCTAGCCTAGAAAAGCAAGCAACGCTTCAGAGTGCTCCCAGGCTCTGATCATGATCCATCCTATTGCACTGATAGCAGTGTCCTTGGCACACTTTTGATCTGTGCCAACCAGCAATTGCCCGAACTGTTCCTGGGGTCCATCTGGCAGTTCGCATGCCCCTGTGAATGTCCCCAGGAGGTGCTGTGCATACAGCCACCTTGCTTGGGATGCTTGGAGAGGTCACTCCAAGCCAGTTGGCTGAGGACCTGTGAGTGTTTCCAGCCTCACCAAACATGCCCATCTAGCTATGGGGTCCTGATCTGAATCTGCAGTCAGATTCTTAAGTTAACCCAACAACCCCTGTTAGCACCTACTTTTTCCCACATGTGGGGGTTGAAGGTACCCAGTATCAGAGCCAATCTTTGTACAAACACAGCATTGCAGCTGGCTGTTTTGCTGTATGCAGTGTGCTGGCATCCTGTACCATTGTATTGAATACAAGTTTACCAAACACCTGAGCAGGACATTTGGATTAGGAGAAACACTAAGGATTGAAACTCCCAGAGCTGCAGAGACCTCCTCATGTAAAACTGAGCAGTGGGACAGGAACAAATGCGTGTAGACTGTGACTTATTACTTGTCTTTTTTGGTTTTGCTGTTGCCACACAGTATCAGTATCAGTCCTGTAGAAGTGAGCTATGAGAACTGCTGGTCTGATGTGTTGGAATAAGCTTTCTACAATTGTCCTAGCATTTTCCCCTGTGGACTGAAGAGGATGTTTGAAAAACATGGCTTACAGTAGCCAGCTATATTTTCATTACATCCACTTTTCAGAGCCAGTCACTTGCCATTACTTAAATGAGACTTTAGTCAAACTCTGTGAACAAACAGCTGAAAGGGTCTGTGTCCCCACAGACTAACAAAGATGGTGGGGCTGCAAGTGGCCCTCTCCTGCCTGGGGTACCCTCCCCAGGCAGGGCCTGTCCACAATCCTTTCGTTGCTCTGTACTTTGTGGCAAGGCTTGACTGAGGTTCCCTGCATAATAGAACCAGGTCAGGAGAAGAGGAATCACAGAATCATAGAATCAACCAGGTTGGAAAAGACCTCTGAGATCGTCAAGTACACACCTTCTTTAATCCACTCTGCCTAAAATCAATCCTTGTTTGCTCTCACTTCTCTGCCTCCCCTACCTATTACGTACAGTCCCTTTTCATTTAGTTTTATCTCCCCTACTTTACACTTTAAATGTCAAAAGAAGCATTTTATTCTTGACTTCTTTATCTGTCTTTGTGGTTTCCCTCTTCTCCAGACCTTTCAGTGTATTCTGGCCCTCATCCATTGCAAGAAGAGGCAATCTATGTAATAGCTGTTTATTTCAGAGGGAGAGATGACCTGGGAGAAACCTCCTTCCTGATCCCATATTTAGCATTTGATTTAAACCTGAATGAATGAGCAAGGCACTCTAAAAAGTCATTAAGGAGTTCCTTGATTGCTAGATACACCCATGTTGTAGTTGGTTTGGAGACAAGATGTAGAAAAAGGAAAAAAAATATATATTCCCTTAGAAACGTACTACTGGCATAAAACTTAGTATCCATTCATACTGAATTGATAAAAAAATGCAAATCAGATCTTTTTCAAACATCTACCTTCACCTATACCAGTAAATGAATCCTGTTTACAATTGTATATGAACAATATCTTTTCATAAATTGTGAACATGGTCATAGCATTCACACTATGTCACAGGAAACACAGTCCACATAGCTCAATCATTTGCTTTAAAAGGTTTAGACATTTTAAGTAAGCTCATGGTAAATTTCATAATGACTGCTTTATTTACATGCTGCCTATCAGAAGAGATCGAGTATTTCTGTTTCCCTAAATTAGCCCTCTCTGGAATATAATAGCAGCTTTCAAACTCACCACATGTTATCTATATATTTTCAGTTATAAATAGGGTCATACTTGTGAGTTAATGGGTTTAGTTCTGAAAGTGCCAAAACTTTGATCAACACATGTAAAACAATTGGCTGAAAAGGGTGATTTTGATCAATGCTTTATACATCAGTGTTCATTACCTACAGTATGACAGGAAACATAACCACTACTGAAACCTTTTAATATCTGCAAGAGGGACAATGGTACTTGGAAATTTAAAAAAGATTAGATACTAAAAGAGCACTTGAGGCAGTACCTCTTATGAGTACTTGCAGGATATGTAATCCAGTTACAGAACCTGAAGCACAAATCATTGCAGCTTTCTTATTTTTTCCAAGCTTTATCTAAACAATAATTCAACTATTTAGAATTTCATTTATAGTACAGCAGTCTTGTTTTTCTTTTTGTGCTGTGTGTTTTGTTTACGTAGCCGGTGGTGGGTTTCTATTTGGAAACAAGCTATAAAAAAATCAGTTCCTTGATTTGCTACTAAATATTGGTAAGATAAAAATCCTGGTCTCACTGACAACAGCAGAAATACTGCCATTTCAGCCACAGGGTCCCATACAAACAACTGACTGTTGACTTGGCCACACAGCCAGGCATCCTGTGAGTAACTCCTGTGGAGTCAACAGGGACATCCGAGACGCACACGCAGGCTTCCTATTGAACAAGATGTTAACTGCAATACTGCAACACATTTAGTTTGAATAAAGCCTCCATTCTTTAATCAGTGTAACTGTCAAACTAAGGCAACTGTAACTTCTTAGTTTACATACCAGCATCACCCAGGGAAGAAATTTACTTCTGACTGAACACAAAGAAACCTCATCTACTCATTGAAATTATACCTTATTTGAAAACACAGGCATAGCATGGTTCTTGCCTGGGGAACAGGGGAGGAACAATGTGAGTATTTCTAAACATTTCCAGCCTTACCCATTTGTTGACAGACCCTTGAGTTATTTTGGAAGCTCTGTCTCTGCTGCCTGCCATGTCAGTTATTATATTGAAAATTTAATTGTACAAGGGCTTTGACACTGAACCTTATAAATTTGTTCCAACTGACCTTGTCTCAGTTATTTGCCAGCCTGGCACGGAGACTTAGCAGTCATTATTTGTTCTCATGCAGTAGGTAGGAGCAGCATGGAGCAGGAGATAGAATGGTCCTGACGTTTTACATGACTTTAAATGAGGAAGAAGCTTTAAATAAAGAGATTATTATGCCCACCACAAAGAGTGTTGCATTTCTCTCAAACAGACCGAATTTAGGTTGTACAGAATTACTGCTTTGTATCGTGAGTGTGGCTGTTTGCTCTGTAGCGTTTTCAAACATCTACTTAAATTTATTCCTCTTTCACCATTCACTTAATTACTCCTTTCTACACATTTCAAAAAAAAGTTTTAGAGCATGGCTTTCATGTTCTGAAAAAGGTACAAGTCACTGCAACGCATTAAAAGCAGAAAACATGTATGGAGTACAAATCCCCAGCTGGATGTTTCACAAAGTTTCGGAAATCTGCAGCACACTTTTAAATCTTTCCTCGAAAGAATCACAGTGAAAAAGCAAAACACAGCAAAAGCTAGTGAATAAATGGTGCTGTATTTGCATCACCACATCTACAAAAGGTTCAGTAGATTTAATCCTTATTTACACAAGTGTGAGAGCAAAGCATCACGTGCAGATTCTTCAGAGGTATGACTTGCAGTTGAGCTCCCTCTGTTGGCTCTGCAGCAGCTGAAGTGCATTTAGTAACTTCTTTTTCAACATAAATACATCACATTGGCAACACTAATCTCTATGTAAAAATCATTATGTTGCACTTCTAAAAAATGTGAAGTTCAGTTCTCATTAGAATCATTGGAATAAACAATATTTAAGAAAAAGGGAACCTCTAGAGGCTCAGGAGTGAGTTCTTGGCATGGGTGTCTAGCATACGGAATTCCAGAATTCCAAGATTATCTTGCAGCTCAATGATTTATAGGTTCTGAAAGAGAATCTGGGGATGAGTTTCGTGCACTTTTTTGTTCCATACTTTCAAACAATTAGGAAAGGAAACAAGTTCATACTCAGTGTTTAGAGAGACTCTGCTCAAAAATGATCAGTGTGTGCTCTCAGTGAATTGATGGCTCCAAAGGAGAGCTGTCTGCACAGAGTGAGCTGACAAGGAGACTTGTAAACATGATTTGAGTCTCAAGGGTGATGCTCCAAGCAAGATGGAAAGGATTTCCAGGAAATGAAAACTGGATGTGGGAACCGATGTCCATCCTTTGGGGTTGTGTGCTTGGTGATAACTTATGATAGCCATTGTGGAAAGCCACTGTTCTTTTCCTGAAGTCAATTTTTTCTTTATTTCTTTTTCTCCTAGGCGTCTGGATGCCAACCACATCAACTATGTGCCCCCCAACTGCTTCAGTGGCTTGGTCTCCCTTAGACACCTGTGGCTAGACGATAATTCTTTGACAGAAATTCCTGTCCAAGCTTTTAGGAGTTTACCAGCACTTCAGGCAATGACATTGGCACTGAATAAAATTCATTACATACCAGACTATGCCTTTGGAAACCTCTCCAGTTTGGTAGTTCTGTAAGTTTCATTGATTGCATTTTAGACACAATCTTTTCTTGCAGGGCTTTGGCCTCTTTGTGATGAATTACTTGAGGATGCGATGTTTAATTTAGATGTTACTTGACACAACCCTTAATAATTAAATATTCCCCTAGTCCATGTCCAGTTGGCAAATTGTAGGTAAATAGGTATAGGCATGAGTCTGTTTTGTCTTATAGTCTTAATATTAAATTAATATCTTGGGGCTATGAATCTGCAGTTTCCTTTCTGCGATTGCTCTAGGCTTAGTGATATTCCTGAGGTCAAAAGATCCATGTCATTTGTTCAGAAAATGGTGGTTTTGAAATATAACTGCAGTTTTCTGGGTTGCATATGTAATACAACCTAGAATTTATACAAATTATCTTGGAGAAAATAATTTTTTTGCATCTTCCTACAATTTGACTAACATTTCCTAAACCACTTGTTTTGAACTAGCTCAAAAGTTTCCATCTCAATTAAAAAGTATGTAAGGGAGTTAAAAATCACCCTATCTGGTCAGCAAAACAAACAGGAAGGGAGGAATTGTGTGCTCCATAAGACTGACTGAGGGAAGATTAGAAACAGGAAATGAACTGAAATCTTTCTGGGGGACTTGGAAAGAATGCTGTCTAGTAGAAAAAAATATGCGTTTCCCTTCATAGAAAGTATATGTATTTGGTTATGTTTGCATACCAGTTCAACTAATTGAAACATGCATGGCTGGCACCAAAATATGGAAGGTGTACTTGAGAGCATGATTTCAGCTTTTTATCTTCTGGGAATGTACCAAGTAGAAAAAAAATTAAACTGGCTGGAGAAACTGAGGTGGAGAAGGTGTTTCAGGATGCTTTGGAAAACGTTAGCATTATTAAGGAGAGAATGATATATTCAAGCTTTACAAGCTGTCTGAAACAGTAGTTTGTCAGACACTTATGTGTTTTATATGTTTTAGCATATTCCAGCCCCAGTGTAACCACTGAACCTGGCACACATCAGGGTTCTTTATTTAGTCACTATTTCTCCCTAGTGCTTAATATACTCATATAAGTACATAGGGCCCCAAAAATGGGGATTAACATCTGCCTTGTGCTGCACAACCTTTGCCTTCTCTTTACATTAAGTATCAATCACATTCAAGTTAGAGTGGATGGACTTGTCATTTGATTAGGCTTCTAGGCTTATATCAGTGTTGGTAAAGACAAGAGGCTGTCTTGAATGTTGTTCTCTAGATCCCTACCAGAAATATAGTGATAAGAGGACAGTTAAGAAATTCAGGAGAAAATAATTTCATTTCATGCCCTGATTGCTTCTGCTCAGTTAGGTTTCCTTATTTAAAATCTACCTTCCTTATTTCTAATCTTCTGGGCTATATAGTGATTAATAATTTAATCATTCCTCATTACGTGCAACATTTGATATTTCTGGCTCCTCAGAATCTTTGTGTGTGGTTCTACTTTCATTTGTTTGCTACTCCATACAGTGTGGCAAATTTTGAATTCAGTGCAAAAATGCATGGTCAATTGGAGCATGTCAAAACCTTTATAATTAAAGATCCAGACATAATTAGAATTTGGAGATGCACTCTTCATGTTAACTAAAGCATTAAAGGTTAGTGCAGTCATTAAAAATAGAGTTGATTAGGTTTCTTCCTAGGAAAGGAAAAACCTATGGAACATTTTATTTTGCCATCAAAATCCCTACCTTTAATGGACAGGTAGACTCAATTTCTGTAGGTTTTGCAGAAAATTCAGAGATCCTGTGATCTTTAATGATATTTTCAGAGCAGAGTGAAGTATTGAAGGGGCCTGGCAGCCTTCATTCACAGCCTGTATTTTCTTTTAAAGCAGTACTCCTCTAGTTTCCCTCCACTATAGGGATGAAGTTTTGAGGATGAAATAACAGGAAAAATCTGTTGGGGAAAAGGCATCCTTTTTAAATTAAATGACCTGAAGTGTCTACAGGTTGTATCTACTCATATTAATCAGCTTGACTCAAAGTGGTTTTTCTCCCTGTTGTTTTAAAGACTTAGAAATAGGCAGACCTCATAGTCTTGGGGGGGGGGGGGATTGGTTAAAATATATAAAAATTACTTTCAATTGCTAAGTATTTCAGGAAGTAGTTATTTATTTTCATAATTTCAAAGGAAGGCAAGTTACAGCACTTTTAAGATTAGTTAATTTGCTTATCTCAGCAAAGCTGCAACTTCTTGTCTTATGGCTCTGTGTCTGCTTGCATTCTGCAAGCCTAATGCCCCTTACCTGTCTGCTATGCTATCGATCTCCTCATCTGCTGCTGGTTTGTGCCATCCCCTCTAACACCATCTGAATATACATCTTCCAAATATACACCTCACACCCCACACACAGTTTTTAAGACAACATGTTAATTAACCAGTTAACCATCACTAAGAATATGTCTATTTGATTTGCAGACGCCAATCTGAAACTGCAGGATATAACATTTTTAAACAATCTAGTTGGTTTTAAAACAGATCCCCTCTAAGAAACCAAATGGAAGCCTGTGTGGGTGGAGAGGTATTGGGAGAAAGAGTAGAGGGTGGTGGAGGTGCCTTCTATACCTGCACTTGCAAAAGCATGACTTGCATATAATCAATGCATGCCAAAATAAGTTTCTTTTGATTTAACCATCAAAATGTTTTGCTTAAGTCCACTGTGTGCAGTGTGCTTTCCTGACTGCGTGCTTAATGTTCCCCTGCAGACATCTCCATAACAATAGAATCTATTCCCTGGGAAAGAAATGCTTTGATGGGCTCCACAGCCTAGAGACATTGTGAGTTGACCTCTTATTTGTTTCCTTTTTTTTTAAAGTGTTTTCATTAATATTCTGAAAGAATAAAAATAGCCTAAAAGCCAAATGTGGGGTTTGGCTTGCCTAATCATTACAGGATCTAAGTGATAGTTCACAATGACTCTATGTAGCAAATCCTACTTTTGACTATAAAATTAGTTTGCCTTTTTGATAAGCATTGTCAATTGATAAATTGTTTGAAAACCAGTTGAAAACTGTATTTCAATGCTCAGTATTGAGCATTGAAAATGAAGTGACTATTCGTGAAGTTATGTTTGTGTAGTTTAGTACTACTTATTTGTCTTGTTTAATCAGTAAAGCTAATAGCTAGATTGGGAAACTGTCACAATGAAAAGCTTTAACATTAAGAAACTGTCTTGCCATAGAGAAGCATTAAAAAATTAGATGGTGGGGGTTTTTTGATACCTGGAAAAAGCAAAAGTTCCAGTAGTCAAATTACACATGTGCTTTACAAGCAGAGGAAGGCAAATGTGTCAGTTGTAGCCAAGTTTTTGTCTCCAAAGAACTCTTATAAATAATAGCACTAGTAAAGATTGAAATTTCCTTAGGTTTTCACCGTAGTTCTGTTCAGACCAATTCAAATTTTCTTGAGTTGTCTAGCAAAAAAATTGTTCTACAGAAAGTGCCAAAGAGGAATGCAGTGCTGGTGGTTAGTGCAAAGTATGCTGCTACAGTTAGTCAAATAAAGATGTCTTCTAGAGTCACCCACAGACCCAAAAAATGCTACGGGGACAGTAAAACCTTGCATATCCTTCCTACAGCACCTGCCACAGTCAACTGCATCATTTTCAGAGATTTTAGATGTTCTACCCAACCAGGACAGAGGCTAAAAAGCCTGTTATGAGGAAGAAATAGTTTCAGACATGAATAATTAGTCTGAAAGTTTCTGTTTGCTTTCTTATCCACAGAACTGCGTTCTACCCAGTTCCATGTTTCATTAAGATCAGGAAACAAGATGTTTTGGGCTTGTTGGCTTTTTTATCACCAGTTTTGATTACATTGATCCCTTGCCACTGAATTGCAGTTTTACAATTTGGACTTTTAGCTGGCTGCGAGTTGAGAGGAAGTCCTTTAGTGTAGCACTGGAAAGGGAGATGGGAAAGGAAGAAGGAAAATATAACTATTTTGGGTTTTTAAGTGATATTCACATGGCACTTGGTCAAAAATGGGGGAAAATAGAACAATGGAGTAAGTAATTGCAAACCCAGTCCCAGCCATCTGACACAAGACAGATGAAAACACAGAGGACAGTCAGGAACCTGCGAGTAAGTGTAGGTGCAGCCACTTCACTGCAATAGGGCAGTGTAGCACTTGCCTCAAGCACAGTAATTGCATACTTTGTAGACTTGTTTCCAGATAGTTTCAAAATAATCTAAAGATCTTGGTGTAAATGACAGACACTGGCTTTAAGATCATTTGTTTGCATTGACGCATAAGTCTGGAAATCACATATAACTGGAGGGCGAAAGCAAACCCTACATGTCTGTAATCTCTTTTTGTCAATAAGCAGAAGAGATTTACAAGCAGGAAGGAAAGCCTTGTTGAATTCAGACAGCAGTTTCCTGCCTGCATTACTTCAGCCTGATGCTATTTCAATTTCAATCTGTTGTAAACTGTGGCTTGTGTTTTGCCTGTTTAAAAAGGCTTTTGGTCCAGTTTTTGAGGCTGCTTTCATCACAAAGCATTGCCAGAGAGCATCACAGTAAACTGGCATATCTCAATTTTAGTTTCGGGTATCTCCTAAATGCTAAAGGATACATATGTCATGCTGAGAGCAGAAGCAGGATTATAATCCATTCAGCCTACCAGAATAAAATCTAATTTTTGCTGCAGCATGAGCAGTTCTTAAAGCAGAGGTCACTACCCTAGCTAAACTATCATTTTTACAATTTTTGTGGTTAGAAATATTCTTTGTATGACTATTGTCAAGTCTTAGAATTAACAATACAGTTAGAAATATTTATAGTGAGATGTATTAGCCATGAAAAATGCAGCTCACCAAACAGAGTTGTTGAATATTCTGTTTGAAAGATTTTTTTTTCCCCTGGTAATACTTTAAAGCAGTGAAAAGGATAGGCAATTTACAAAACAGCAACCTCGTAGTAGTATCCAAATTCACTTACGTTCTCTTTATTGCAGAATAGCTTAGATGTAACTAAAAATAGTTACATTTTTATGTGTGCTGATAAAAAATAGGAATGATAATGTGCCCTAAATAGAGTTTGTTGGAAAACATCCATACACTTTTGAGGATTTCCTCGCTTTTTGCTGTATATATCTCTCAGTGCATGGAAGATGATAGTTTATTACAAGTGCCAACAATGCTCTGTTATCTGTTATGCAGTGCATAACCTAAATAATAAAATCTTTTTTTACACAGAGATTTAAATTACAACAGTCTGGACGACTTCCCCACTGCTATCAGGACACTAACAAACCTAAAAGAACTGTAAGTACAGAGCTCATATTAGGAAGGAGGATGTTTTGTCTCGTGTGTGATTATATTTTTTAATGTGGATGATTTTATCAGTAGTCCTTACAAACTGATACTCTAGGATAAACTAATAAATATGCCAACATACATAAAAAATCATTTTCAACATTCAATTTAGGACACTCAAGTGCTGACAACTTTTACTTTTAAACTGCATTGTGCAGTCGGTTTTCTCCAGGAACTTCATCCTTGGAATACTGTAAATAATAAACACAATTTATTCACTTTTAGTCCCAAACACAGTCCCAAACAGTTAGATTTTGAAAAAAATGCAATATATCAGTCTTCTAGCCTAAGAAGAAGAAGGCATGGTATCCTTATTAGTCCATCAGGTTTAAATGTCTTGACCAACTTCCTCCCTCTTCTCCATTAAATTAAAGCAATTTCTTTTCAATATGTATAGTCCTTTGTAATGCTGCTTTTGGATGCACAGCCATAGTTTGCATTTAAAAGAAATCAACAATGAAAATAAATTATTCAAATCTATTGTAAGAAACAGTTGTATTATTAAAAAATAAAAATAATTAAATTATATTCACACATCATACACACAATGTACACATCAATGCATATGTTCAGAATTCTTTCCATTTTAATTATTTACCATGTTACTGGTACCATCAGCATAGATTTTTGACAAAACTAGGTAATCACATACCAGTTGGACATGGCTGTACCCCTGCTACATCAGAAACTGATCTAAAAAATATTTCTGAGTAGCTAACTGAGATTTTTCCAAAGCAGGGATGCCCAGACACTTTTGATTCCTGCTCAGCACCTTCAGTGTTGGCAGAATGCAGCTCTGGAAAAGGCAGCAGGGCTGAGTTTCTCAGCCCAACTGTTCTCAGCTGCTGTTTATGTCATAAAATAATTAGTATGAAGTCCAGTAACCTCAAAGGATTGCCTTTTTGATGATCCCTGGAGTCAGTAGCCAAAAATGGATAACTCAGGTTTGCAGGAAATGCACCTTGTCCAGTCCAGCAAAGTGCCTGATGGCCACCACAGGACTTCACCTCTAAGTATCAAACTTATTATTGCATCTAAGCTCCTATGTGCAAGACATATTTGGAGTTTGAAACTGTAACCTGACATCCCAAATCCAGCACAGATCATGAAACCACGTGGTTCAGTGCTTTGGGACCTGGAAGCTGATCTTGTATGGATGTCTCGCACACAGCTGTCCCTGCCCTGCTGTTCTCACCCACATGGGAGCCCAGGCCCACAGAAGTTCAGCTCATTGCAGGGCCACCTTAGTAAGGGTGCTTCTGAGTGGGACCTCATGTCTCTCAGAATTTGTGCCTGGGCTGAAAACACAAACTATCACTTTTTGTCTACAGCTAGTAGCAGATATTTCTCTGGGAAGTAGTCACGTCATTTCCTTGGTTTTTCTGCCATGCAAGGAATTGCATTCAAAACCAATCTGTTTACTGGTTCTAGATTAAATGAGATGTTCATATTGCTTTGAGTCTGCATCTGCATGTTTTTATTGCATGCAGAGGAAGTAGGGATGTAAAGCCTTGCTCTTTGGCTCATCACCAGGAGCACAATGCCTAAACAAGTAAACCAGTAATGCGGAACCTGTGCAAGTAATGGCCAAGTGTGCTTGCATCAGTGAACAATTGGACATTTAGTAATGCATAAATTTAAGCTGAGAAGCCTTCTTCATACCCGACTCAACTAATGGAAGTTTCCCACACAAATCATCATTGTTCTTTTGAAATCTTAGTTGTTCCTTTTGTTTTTCACAATGGGAAATTACTCATATGAATGAAATCCAGCAATTAATGATGAGGCAAAGATTTGGCTTTCTGTCCAGCAGGCACAACTACATTTTGGTTGTGTACACGTTTAAAATGTTTCAAAAAAGAAGTGTCTTTGGGAGGATCAACATTACAATATTATGTATAAAATCATTTACTTGATAAACTTGTGCCATCCAGCAAAAGAAATAGTTGCAGTTCAACAAGCACAGGGGGAAATATATTGTTAGTTATTTAATTATTAGTATCTAACTATTAATGTTCTTAGTTCATATATGTGTGTATATTTACATTATACACCTATTTGCATATATTCTGAATTTTAAGAGGCCATTTTGCAGTTTGCTTCATCTGAATCACTTTGTTCGTTTAGAAAAGTGCAGAATTTCAGCAATTTTCCTTCCCCCTCCCCTCCCCTTCCCTCCACTTTCCTCCCCTTCCTTCCCCTTCTCTCCCCTTCCCTTCCCTTGTGCTTTTTTCAGTTCTGTCTTATTCCAGAAAACAAGAATATATCTTTACATAAAGACACATTTCTTATTACAAATGAAAACCAATGAATATAGATTGAGTCTTCCCTTTTTTTTTTTCTTACCATATAAACCATTTTTCCTTTTGTAGGGGATTTCATAGCAATAATATCAAGTCAATACCTGAGCGTGCATTTGTGGGTAATCCATCACTTATTACTATGTAAGTGATAAGAATCTTTTCAATGACTCCTTGTATTAGAGAATGTGAAACTAAGTATTGTATTTGTGGCTAATTGTCAAATAGCTTTTCTTGTGAGTACACTATGTAGCACATCATCATACAGGCAAGCAAGCTCATATCTTTCCAAATTCATGGAAAGAATGGCAGTTTGCATGCCCTGTTTAAGGGAAGCAAGTAGTGGTCTCTGACCTTTGACCTTTTATTTGAACTGTTTCTTCTAAGTCTCTCAGCACTACTGGCAATGCAGAAGCTAGTAAAAATTACTCTTGATGTATTCCAGTCTGAGTTCCCATTCTCTTACATGAAAATGCACTTAATGGTCAAACCTAAAAATAAGAAACTGCGAAATAAATGGAAGAAAAATAACGACTCATCTTGAGTAATAATCTGCTGCAAAAGCAGCATGACTACAAAAGGGCAAGGGAACCTCTTCTGAGTTAGGTGAAGTTCTGACTTTTTCACGTCTCAGGTCATAACAAAGTTCTTCATATGTGGATTTCTGTCTTTGCAAACCTGGAAGGAAGAGAGAATATTTTATTGACTGTCTTCTGGCTTTAAAACCAGGAAAACAGCTACTCCTTGAATATTAAAAATGTGGAATGTGAGTGATGAATATAGATTAGAGGGTGAGAAAAGTCTAGAGGTTCACCTCTGCTACAACCAGAGCTGCACAGTATGTGATTCATCATAGAAAGTTTATTTGTTTTCTTAAAATATTTTAAAATATTTTTCATTAAATGTCTTTTATCATCTTTTTTCAGACATTTTTATGATAACCCTATCCAACTTGTTGGAAAATCTGCTTTTCAACACTTACCAGAACTCAGAACTCTGTATGTGTTTACTTTTTATTTTAATTGTCTTTATATATTGGAATGTGAGAGTTGTCCCACACTTCCCTTACCATAATTTTATTGAAATTATTTTTTGAAATTCTAGGGCTTTAAATGGTGCTTCACAGTTAACAGAGTTTCCTGATCTGACAGGGACTACAAGTCTGGAGAGTTTGTAAGTGTTAGAGAAGTATTTTTGCTTTGTTTTATTATCTTGTAAAGAATACGCTAAAAAAAATTCTTGTTTTTCATACTTTAAAAAGTAATATTTTTTTTTTCATAAATTCTTTCAATAGGACACTCACAGGAGCACAGATCACCTCTCTCCCCAGATCAGCTTGTGACCAGTTACCTAATCTCCAAGTGCTGTACGTTTCAGTAACATTATTAACATTCCATTAATACAAGAGATTAATAGACAAATGAAACTATTATGATTTCAAAATTACACAATTACTGCTATTTCTGTGTATCACATTACGTCTTAGGAATTCAGCTCAGGGAGCGGGCCCCAGTGTTACTCAAAAAGTTTACAACCCAGTTATCAGCCAGGATTTCCCATACATTGCTAAGAAAGACAATTACTTAGTATAGTTTTAGGAAAAGGTAAAATGATTCTTGATTTTGTTTAAAAAAACACAGACCTACCTTATTTTTATTCATTCTTTCTCTCCCACAGTAGTTTGGGATTTTTTTCTTACTAAGGCAGATATTTCAGTGAAGTGAATGAGAGTGGGTGAGGGGTGTAGTTTTGAGTCCTTGTTATGCTCCTCTTTTAGCATCTTTCTCAATCAGACGTAAGTAGCTGACTGAAATTTTAATAGACTATTCCTTGGCATAGTTGGGGTATATTTGATATACTAAATATCCAGTATTATTTTAGCTTGCAAACTTCCTTGGAGTGTGCTTAATCACTAATGAAAGTAATCGTTGTGCCCACTTCTTTGAGAATGAGCCAAGAACACTTTCCTCCATCTATTACATCACTAGGAATGTATTTGGTATTAATTCTTTGGCCAAAATTGAAATAGCACTAATTATAATGCATTATTTGAATACCAGAGTGGATGTCAAGATAATTTCCAGAAAAAAATTAAGTTAATGGACTCAATATAATCATTTCCAGAATGATAAAATAAACAGGTCTGTTGCCAGAAGAAAGTCTGCACACAGACTTAAGTTGAAATATGTCCTGTATTACTCAAAAACAATAAATTATCTCAAAACAGAAGGCAACAAATACTACAGCAATTAATAACTTGTACAATTCATAGTGGAGTAGGACTGTCCATTGGAAATTCACACTTACTATTTTTGAGTATCACCCTATATTATTAGAGCTGATACTTAAAAGACTGGGGAACCAATTTAGCATCAATTTCAAGTACTCAGGACTTGCTCTGACCCCGTTCCTGTGAGATGGGAATGAGCCTGCGAAGTCCTGCCTTTGGTTTGCACATTAGTTTTGCCTGTTCCATGAAGTGTAATGGTGCCCTGAATACTACAAGTGACTTGGAGACCACGCCCTTGGAGGGGCTCCCTGTCTCAGATACACTCAAACATTACAAGCACACACACTCCTTTGAAAGGCAATTGGTTCATCCTACCTAGCCACCAATACTTCCAAGTGTGAATTAATGCAGAGCAGAGGCTTCCTGGGTGTCTGCATACCTGCAGTAAAGGTGTACCTGAGAACACAATCACAGCAGTCCTTGAAAGACTACCCTCAGCATGGTTGCGGTGCACATCAATGTGGGAAATGAAACCACTTGCCCTCTGCTGCTTCCAAGAACCTCATATATTAAGAAAGTGGGAAAAAAGACCTTAAAAATAAACAAGTAAAATATTTCTTGGAGCACTGACAGAAACTGAGAAGGGTCTCAAGTCTGATTTGGAACTTTTTTCTGTGTGTGAGGAGGGAGTGTCAGTATGTACAAAATTCAAGCTATTAACATATTTTTGAAAGGACCTAAGTCACAAATCCATGCATGACGAAATAGCCACTGTCTGCCAGACATAGAAAACATCCTTTACCTTGGCCTAAAAGCCTCTAGCTCATTGAATACCCTCCTGTAATGTCTGATTTGGACCACAGAGTACCTGTAAAAAATACAAAACCAGAGGCTATAATCTTACTTATTGGAACGAAAAAAAAAACACCAAACCCAAACATATTAATGTTTGCCTTTGTACATATTAAAATCAGAGTAGAATACCTTAAAGACACACACTGTCATTACTTGCACTACTTCCACAAATCAAATATAAAATAGTCTAAATGCCACTGTTGGAAAAATAATAGTGAAAATACTGTTTTGCCAAGGAGGTAAATAGGTGGAGATGAACCAGTTTTAAGGAATTTGAGAAGCAAGAAGAATTTCACAGAAGTGAAAAGTGATTACTCTTTCATGTGATAATACTGGATAACTGTGGAAAAGGATATTTTTCATAATTATAGGCTTAAGGTTTTTTCCTCTGTTCTTTTCACAAGCGTATTTCCCATTCAGCTTTCCCTGAGCAACACACACACACATCTACCTATCTATCTATCTATCTATGTATCTATCTGTCTATCTATCTATGTATCTATCTATCTATCTGTCTATCTGTCTGTGTAGGATGAGACTCTTGGGTGATGGAGACTGGTATTTAGTTCCTTTTTTTTTTTCCTCTAGTTTCTTCAAATCACCTGGGCTTGGTTTTGATTAGTTATATTATACTGTAAATCAGTCCAGATGTTTCAGTTATTCTGTAATTTGTTGAGTTTTGGCTCAAGTCTTTTTAAGGTGTTTTTTTCCCCCATGTGGTGATTGATTTCAAAGTTAGTTCCGATTTTTTTTGACCATTTCCCTCAGTTATAAGTTACAGCAGTCTTAACAATCAGAGGCAATAGTGCTTAATTAAAAGCATAGAATGGAAAGCTGATTCTGATTCTTATCAGAAAAATACGGGATATTCTCTAAAAAATACATGAGTATATATATATTTAGTAGATTAAATATCAGAATTTAAACTTGATAAATATGAAGTCTGTGATATAAATCCAGTATTCCCTGTGAGTAGATGCCCAGTATTGTTACTGTAAAATACTCAGCAGATATCTATACTTCAGGCAGGAAATCTTCAGACAATGCAAGGAATTTGCAAATATAGGATATGGAGTTAATATATCTTGCCTTTCCCCTTCCTCTCTCAAATTAGAAATCAAAATCTGACAGCTGAGAGATAAATGAGTTTGTAGACTCTTATTCTGTGGATAAAACCAAGTTATTTTAAATTGAGCATGAAAGTAGATAATGAAAGTAGGTAATGAGTATTTTTCTTGTAACATTACTCTGATATTATTCTGTTCATTTCTTGTATAATACAGGGATCTGTCTTATAACCTGCTGGAAGATTTACCCTGTTTTACTGCATGTAAAAAACTCCAAAAAATGTAAGTGTCAAACTACCCTAAAAAGTTCAAAAAGAAGCATCTATGTGTGTTTGAGCATAATTAACTCAGTTATTGCTGGCTGATTTGGCACACCCCAGATACACCATATTGATGTGGATCGTAAACACAATCTAAAACACCCCAGAGTGCCCTACAAGTGTCTTTGAAACTGAGGAGATTCTTACTGCTTTTTCAGTGACTTGCATCACAATGAAATCGGTGAAATCAAAGCAGACACATTTCGGCAGCTGGCTGCTCTTCGATCTCTGTGAGTACTCCCCCAACAGACATTCACACAGATTCTCAAAAACATGGGGAATATACTGTCTACCCACTAGGTATCCTGAAAGATCCTTATTTCAGTTTTTCCACACTGTGATCTTTCACCCATTAGATCATAACTGTGAAAGGAGAACAAACATGATGAAGTTTAACATCTGCAGCAATTAATTAAAATACACACATCTGTATATTGTAGCTATATTATTATAGCTGTAAAAACTGTTACTTTTAAATGTTTCTGTTGGAGGTAGAGAGAGATACCAAGCCAAAGATGGTATCTGTTGACAGGTTCACATTATAATCAGCTCTAGGGAGCATGAAGTCCTTTTGTAGAGAACAGTGTCTTAATACATAGAGTCCAGTCATATGCAGGTTTCTAGTTTTCACACAGACATATGTGCTAGCAGAGTAATTTTGTCAAGAAATTACTCATGGTTATAATTTTTTGCAGAACTGAACGCATACATTTTTTAAGAGTTGCTTTTAGTCTTTTTGATTTTTCAGGGGCAGTGAAAATCGAGCTTAGGAAGGAAGGCCTATTGACCATGGATTTGCTGTTCTTAGTCGTATCATGAGAACATCTTAGAAGAATTAGTCCATATAAACCACCCTTCTTTTCTGCTGCCTTAGGAGGCTGTGAAGCAGACTGAAAAGCCTTAGACTGGAAGGCATTAAGATGTTTTAAGAGCACTGTCAGTTTAACAACTAACACCACAACTGACTATCAACTTGAAAAAAACATTTTACACTATGAGATATGCAGAAACTTACTGAAAATATTTACCTGTAGTTAATACCTTCTTTATATTAAAGTGTCCTAATCAAGTGTTTGAAAACTTCCATATTCATTCAGTGGGTATGTCATTTTCTACTCACTTTTCTTGTAGGGATTTAGCTTGGAACAAAATTAAAATTATTCACCCCAATGCCTTCTCCTCTTTACCATCTCTGATCAAACTGTAAGTATTTGTATATCTTTTGCATTCAAATTTTTGCATTTTTCTTGCAATGGCATACAGAAATTTAATAGCTTGGTGCCGCAGCAGAAATGGAGGCTTTTTCTATTCTGATCATCTGGTCTGTTGAATCAATATCTAAATGTCTTCTTTCTTGTACTTCACCAGTTCCCATAGATATTGTAACAAAGCTGCATACAACCCTGTGTAATCAGCATGATTTGGGGTCCATGAAGATTATCAGTGCATCTACCTTTCTTCATTCAGTGTGTTAGCAGATTAGTTTGTTGTAGGAGTGGGGAATCTTTCCTGTTAGTTATGTTTCAAGACTGAAGAATTGGATTAAAAATTAAATAAGAAAGATTTTTCAGTGTACACTTTTATTTCTTTGTTCCTCATTTGACAAAACAGTTTCTCTTCTTTAGTGAGTTCAGGCAGAGGAGTTAGTGGTCAAAACATCAGCAACTAGATTTGCGGGCCTTGTTCACAAGCACTTCTCAGTCCTTACTAATTTTTTTCCTACTTCCCACTGTCATTGTAGTGCCTTTTCAAGGTGAATCCCTGAGATATTGGCTGTGTAGGGAAGACGTGAAAAAAAATTCCTCTGGAGTCATATTGCTGCATAGTTGTCACAAAGATATGCTGCTGAGCATTTGCTCACAGATAATTCAGTAGCTGCTGGGAACCCGGAATTTGGAAAGGGTTATTCATTTCTGTTGATGTGCAAAGCCTTCTGATGGTGCATTGAAAAATGTCCATAGAGACATTTTTGTCTGTAACATTCCTTTCGGGGCCCTTCCTACTTTGTGAGGTGAGCAGTAAATTGTAGCTTTGGGCAATAACATATAGAAGGAGTTAAAGAAAAAAGTCCTTTAACACAGAGACAATAAAACAGTGTACCAGAGTTCTCTGAAATGCTAGTCTCTAACCTTGGTCTGACTGAAGTCGGTGGTCATTTTTACCACTGCAGTAGGACCTGAATTTTACCTTTGGTATTTAACCATGCTGTGCGCAAGAAGATGCATTAAACCAGATAGGTAGAAGACCAGTCCACCAACACACCTTATTTTAAGTCTATGCCTTAGATTTCAATATATATTCCAGACTTTGCTGTTCAGCCTTGGGCATAAAAGCATTTCAGCTGCATCAGATTCCCCTTCTTCCTCCTTGACTGTTGACAATCTGAAGTATTGCAGTGTGGATAATTGTGAGGAGGACTGAAAAGGCTCATGGAATGAATCAATGGAAGAGAGAAAGCAAAGTAAAGAACAGAATTCTTCTGAACTCCCCCCTCTTTCATTACCATATCTCCTTGATCACTTATCACTTTTTCATTCATCTGTTTTACTTTCCTAAAGTTATATATCTGTTTTCATCGACACTATCTTCCCTCAGCTACTCAGACAAACCTCAGCTTGGAAATGTCATCTTCATCTCCTCCAGCCCAGACCTGTCCTACCCTGAAACTCACATCTTCCCCATACACCTCACCTCCTCCTTATAATAGAGCTTTCAGGGCAGCCGTGCCCTCTGTCATTCCACTGAATCTTCTAAACTGTGGGAAGCTGTTCTGGCACTGGCTCCTTTGAATTCAGACAGTCTAGTGAACAGATTTTAAATTCATTTGCTAGTCTCAAAACTGGCACTGTGAACATTTGGAGTCAAAATTTGGCAACAGAGACCCAACTAACTGCTAGATATTACTGTTAGCTTTCTGCTGTGGATATATAGTTGTGTGCTCCTGAGCCGTGCTGTAACTTTGTTCTGCTGACTGGGCTTCTGTTTAATGCAGGCATTTTTATTGAGTTAGAAAAGTTTAACCTGTTTTTCCGATGTGACACTTCTACTGCTGAAGAAAAAAAATGAAAACCATAAGCTGATTTTTATTTGCTGTTATGCAGGGATGTGTCATCCAACCTTTTGTCCTCTTTTCCTGTGACGGGGCTACATGGTTTAACTCATTTAAAATTAACAGGAAATCATGCCCTACAAAGTTTGATAACATCTGAAAATTTTCCAGAACTCAAGTGAGTATATGATTAAAACTAATAAGCCACATTTGTGTTCATGTGCAATGGAAGGTGTGTCAGTGTGTAATGCATATTACTTCGTATTGCCAGTCTTTGATCTGTGCCATTAAAACTAGAACAAATATGATAAAAATGATAGACTTATTTTATTATGCTCACTTATAACTGAAGAAACTGTGAAGGGTTTTGAAATATTAACCTCAATACTTGCTTAGTACGAGCCACATCTGCTTCCTGTTGATATGTTTCAAAAGCTGTTAAAACAATATCGCTGGCAGCTTAGTGATATGTCCTTCTTCTACTGAACTGTGCTTACAGAACTTCCATTATATTTAATGAGAACTCAGAAAATACAAGGGAAGAATGTACTCCTAAAAGTCCAGAAGATTTTACTGGTTTGAACATGATTTTTCTGTAATCTTTTGATTAAGATTCAGATAATACTTTGCCATTATTACTAACACACTTTGATACTAATAATTTCTGCTGGGTCCTCTGTGATACAGGAAGGAAGTGTCCTCTAAAGATCATTTGCAGCTCTACCAGCCACTAGATGATCATGCCCTGTATGGGTATTGAACCCATGACCTTGGCTTTATTAGCACCATGCTCGAACCAACTGAATCAATTTCAGGGTCACAGCAAAGAGAGTTTTGTCTCTGAATTCAGGGTATTTGGAAGTGTCTAACTCTCCCTTCATTTTTTTGTTTTAATTAGAGGATGCCAAGTGCAACATACGTTTTATCATGTTTTACTGTAAGAAGCTCAGTGTCATAAAATATGAAACAGCTGAACAGTGTGCACACAGTTACAGAATCACAGAGTGGTTGAGGTTGGAAGGGACCTTTAGAGACCATCTTGTCCAACCACCTGCTCAGGCAGAGTCACCTGGAGCCACTTGCCCAGGACCATGTCCAGACAGCTTCTGAGTATCTCCAAAGATGGATGCTTCATCCTTATGTCTTCATTAGATTTGCCTTTTACACTGGAAAAGTCCCAAGAGTCTTAGCAGGCAAACAGCTGAAGATGTTACCACTAATAAAAAAGACTGGAGTGTTTGGAGTTATCAATAAGGGAATCATGAATAGAAGTGTGGAGCTGATTAAGCCTCTGAATACAGCATTGGAGGAATCCACCCTAGAATACTTCTGTGATGGCATGTTAATATGAACTGAGATAAGAGCTGCAAAAAATGTTTCCAAGGTTAGGAAGTAATGCCTTAAAAGTCTTAATAAAGCCAAAAACTGTAGTTTGTCACAGAGGAGATCGGGTACTGACTTCATCACAGTGCATGAAACCGCTTCATAACATTAGCATTCAAAGTACTAGAGGCCTTACGTCTCTCTTACACTAGGGATGTTGAGATGGGTCTAACAGATCTAGAGGCTAGAACCATAAGATATCATGAACGGTTGAGGCTGAGCTTATACCATGCTTTTTCTTCTCTCACAGACTTTACCCAGAAATTGAGGCAGGTGACAATTCTAAAATAATTAAAGTTTCTTCAAAAGAATGTGAACACAAGAAAATGCATTACTGCAACCTGCCAAGTATATAGTGATGTATATACCATAACCTAGAGCTATAAGAGGTGCTGCAGCAGTCCTAGAATAATCCATTATTCAACTGAATTAACTATTTTTTTAAATTCTTTTCTCAAAAATATACTTTATATGAGTTTTCCATTGGTAAAATTGTGAACATTGCTCAAATGAAAGTACAGTGTATTTAGTCTGGGTAAATTGTTAACAAGGATGTGTCCAACTAACTTAAGTCTTAAAAAAAGTATTCAAAGTATGATTAATATATCTAGAGTTGATTAACATCTGTAAAAACAAATTATATCCAGTCAGGAGAGAATAGAGTAAACTTCTGACCTACAGTCTGCATGACTTTTACCATAATTTGAAAGAAACTCAAGACTTCACACAGGATCACTGCACAGATAATGCATGAAGCACCAAACCTGAACAGAGATCTAAACCAAAATTATATTTTTTCCTTTGTAATTGCTGTAACTAGACAGTGGTTACAACATTAAAGACGAATTCCTGTGTAAAAACTTCCTACTCATCTAAATTGATCAATACAGACACATGAAAGAGTTGAGTATCCTCTTCCCCATTTTCATCAATAGCACTAGTACACCCTACAGAGCTGAGCCCAGCCTATTATGACAAGCCTTGAGGAAGCAGTCAGGCTGCCAGCCACTCCTTCCTTCTTGATCTGATGCTTTGATTCAGCTCTGTAAAGAACTCAGTGCTTTGCTCCATTCATCATAACTGTGCCTTCGTGTTCACCATCAACCCCACACCTGTCTGAGGTAGAAAATAACCTTGTGTCCTCTGCTGCTTAATCTAAAAAGAGAGAAAAAAAAGAGGCATTCCTTGCTAGAGGAAAAGAAATTATCAAGGATGCCGATATCATTAGTAAGATAAGCAGTGCATAAAAATAAATTCAGCCAGTGTTTCTAAAGAGTTTAATTTGACAAAGTCCAAATCTAATTACCCACATCAAATAAGCACTACCTTATCTGGACTACTTCCAGCACTGTACACCTCTGAGAGTTCTGAGAGTTCCTTCCTTTTTTTTCTTTTTTTTTTTAATGTACATTTTGCAAGAAAGAACTGATACCTATTTCCCTGCATTGCAAAGTATGTTTTGTCCTCTGTGTTCTGGGTTGCAGCCATTGTGTGCAATAGTACTTTGCACGTAGATTCAGCAGCATTTGCTAATTTGAGGATTATATGTATATCTTAGTAACACAGAGGGAGAAAAACAAACAAACAAACAAACAAAAACTGTTCAGTTTAAGAAAGTATGCTAGAAATACCTACAGAGAGAATAAGAGTGGGAGTCTTGCTCTATAAAGATCATTTAAAAGCCGTGATGCATCATCAAAGTAGTCGACCCGTACAATGTGAGAGGTCTGCATTTCCAGTGTATGACAGGCCAGCAGGCAAGTAGAAGCACAACAGCATCTGGAAATCTGTAATTATTAAGTACATAGAGCTGCTTGAATAACCAGAGAATACATTTCTGTTAGTCCCTTGAGCCTAAAATATCCACTGACTGTTCATTCCTGTAACAACATCAGTGTCTTCCAAAAGGTCTGAAGGCACAAGTTGCAGACATCACAGAACTGTCAGTGTTTCTTTTGGTTAATTTTTTTTTTGTTCCAAAAAAGGACATTTCTTGTGGGGGGTTGGGATTGTTTTTATCCCAAATGATTAGCTATGGGTTAGTCTAGTAATCTGTGGGTATAATAATAGGTTATTTAAGAAGGGCTTCTGGGAAAAGTGTTCAAAAATGTTTAATCAAGATAATCTCCTTATTTTAAAAGATGGCATGTGGATAAGAATGAGTTAAAATGAAGTATTTAAATCTGCTGGCATGAGGTTGCTTCATAGTTAGATCTTGGTTATCTTGAACTTTTATTGAGTACCCTAAAAATTTTGTCTTGGGTACAAGGGTACAGATTATTCTGGTTAATTCCCATCAGAAATGTAAGTATATTAGAATCTAAATGCCCCAAAATGAACTAATTTAAAAATCACTTTGGGGCTCAAGGTTCTGTTTGTTCTTCTTTGTACCTGCTTTTGGCTAGTGCACAAGTTTAAGTCCTTTTGGCACTGGGCCTGATTCAGCCTGATTTCTTTGCAGATTTCCCAGGGGTTAGAGGTTGCTTATTGCACTCATTATGTTAATTTGCACGATTAACCTGTTGAAAGTAATCTGATAGGAGGATCTAATTCTACTTTATTCCTTTTAAATCAAGTCAGAATAGCTTCTAATCACCTATTTACCTTTGAATTTTTTGGTTTATTGGGCTTTCAGAATTAAGGTGAGTTGCTAGGTTTTATTATGTGCTATTGGCAAACTGTGCAAATTAAATAACTCTGCTTCCAAAGCATAAAATATATCTACAGAATTGAAGAAGTAGTCTATAGAACTTGGATATATGTAATTCTCCTGTGCTACCCCAGAATTTGCACATCCCCAAAGGAATTAAATTCACAGCATACTAGAAGTGTGCAATTTTCTGACAAAAGAAACCCTCATAATCATTGGAACTCACTGACATATATTCAGTTATGTGTTAGTAATACTAATGATCTTAAGAGTTATAAATGAGTATCCAGTGTCCTGCAAGGGCTGTGCTCACTTCTAAGACAATTAATAAAAGAAAACCTTTCTCTCAGTGATATATTTTCGCACACAGTGCGAAATCCTAATTCATTCACCTTTTGGTTTGGAACACTGCTGTCTTGATCTGTGCACAAGACACAATCTCCTTTTTGCCATCTTACTGTGAAAAGGGCTGGATATGGAAAGAGGTGAATAAAGCTTGAATTCCAAAAGAACTCATTCTCCCAAAATTGGAGAAATTCCATTTTGGAAGTTTTTTGATTTTGCCTGTTAGGCTAGATCAGTTGGGATCTTTGCATCTGCTTTTTTTAAAAGAAACCATTAAGAAAGTAACTGTTGGAGAAACTGTTGAGTTACACAGTAAAATCATTAAAAATCATAAAATAGAAATATAACTCTAAATAATATTCGCTCAGTGGCAAGGCATAGATCTCCCACTTTCATGTCTCCTATGAAAACACATAAAAAACCTTCACTGTTGCTTAACTAAAATTAGCCTAGAAATCATCTGCATTTCTGAAGTGGAATTTGATTTGCAAGTTGTTATTTTGTATTATCATGACTCACATGTTTTTACTTTCAGTCATGGATATTTAAACTATTTCCTTTGTGCTGACGGTAAAGGAGCAGTACAATCCAATAATTCTAGTGTTAAAGCAGTATCGTGGCATGCTTCCTTATTCTTCTACAGGGTCATGGAAATGCCTTATGCTTATCAGTGCTGTGCCTTTGGAGCTTGTGAGAGCCACTACAAAATCTCCAGCCAATGGAACAAAGATGAGAATAGCAGCATTGATGATTTTCACCGGAAGGATGCTGGGCTGTTACAAATTCAAGGTAACCATCATCTTAGGCTTTTAAATCTACCCACAGGCTGCAAGCAACCTGTGATATTAAATCCAATACTCTTTACAGTCACAGAGGCTCGCCCTCTCTCTTGCCCAATAATGTGTTATTAAAGCATTCCTATGCTTAACAAACTCGTTATTTTAGGTCTGCCATTCAAAAATCTCACTCCCTCACCCTTTTGTCCAAACAGTAGCTATATTAATGTGGGAAATGAAATCTTCCCTTTATATTAGAGACAGGGAAGTGCAGCTGATATGTAACTCCATACAGGAACAGGCCAGCAAAGATGTAGTTTCTTGCCAGCCTCAGAAGTAGTAACACGTACTTGGCTTACCCACATGCTTCAGGGTGATTTACAGCTTAGGTGGCTACTTCGGCATGCTTTTTCCTAGAATCATGGAATATGCTGAGTTGGAAAGGACACATTATGATCATCGAGTCTGACTCCTGGCCCTGCACAGGACACCCCAAGAATCACACTGTATGCCTGAGAGCATTGTCCAAATGCTTCTTGAACTCAGACAGGCTTGGTGCTGTGACCAGTTCCTTGGGGAACCTGTTCCAGTGTCCAGCCACCTTTTTGGTGAAAAACCTTTTCCTGATATCTTACCTAAACCTCCCCTGAACTCAGCTTCATGTCATTTCCTCGAGTCCTGTCACTGGTCATGAGAGCGAAGAGATCAGTTCCTGCCCCTCTGCCTCCCCTCAGGAATATATTGAAGACCACAGTGAGTTCTCCCCTCAGTCTCCTCTTCTCCAGGCTGAACAGACCAAGTGACCTCAGCCACTCTTCATACGGGTTCCCCTCCAGACACTTCATCATCCTCATTGCCCTCCTTTGGACACTCTCTAGCAGCTTAATATCTTTCTTCTGTTGTGGCTCCCAAAACTGCACACAGTATTCAAGGTGAGGCTGCACCAGTGCAGAGCAGAGCAGGGCAATCCCCTCCCTCGACCAGCTGGCAATGCTTTGCCTGATGCCCCCAGGACACAGTTGGCCCTGCTGGCTGCCAGGGCATTGCTGACTCATATTCAACTTACCATCGACCAGGACCCCCAGGTCCCTTTCTGCAGCACTGATTTCCAGCCTCTCTTTCCGCAGCCTGTACATACATTTAGGGTTGCCAGCGAGTGTAGCTGCTCTCCAAGACACAAGACGACTATACTTCTCTTCCCCTCTAGCACAAGATCTGTTACTTGACAGGTTATCTGTTACGTAGGTGCACAGATTTGCTTTCTGTGCTGTCTCTGCCCCTGCAAACCAGTAAGTCTCAGAGTTTAGCAAGAGTAGAGGCATTAGAGACAAGAATATGTGCTAGAGTGATGACATAGGAAGCACAGAAAACTTGATTGATTCTTAGTAGCCTGACGCAATAGCAGAATTTGTATTTTAAACTCCTTCCTAGGCAGTCATCACACTGCAAAGTAGGTAAAAGAGAATGTAGCTTTTAGTGATTATTTTCAGAGAAGTAATGATGCCTGCTTTTTAAATAATCCCAAGCGCAGTAATTCAAAACCAAGTAGGCATACGTCTGCTTCTGCTCACAGTTTGGCAGGCAAAGGGACAAGACCAGGCCTTAAATGCCATGGGAATTTTTGCAACTTTTACTAAAAGAAGTTTTCCTGAAAATTGCAGTAACAAATCTGGGTCTTTTCTCCCCTATAGATGAACGTGATTTTGAGGATTTTTTTCTTGACTTTGAAGAAGATTTGAAATCTCATCATTCAGTGCAGTGCTCACCTTCTCCAGGTATGAAACTGTCAGACAGATGGGAATCCAAGGACAGTGTTATCAGATATTCTAAATGCAGAACAAATTCAGAATCTGATAATAGGACAACAACATGACATTGTGCAGTAATTTGATGAGTTTAATACAAATACATTGCACAATAATATAAAATTTTGCATTAAACTCCAGAAAACTATTCAGCTACTAAATTCATCTATGAGTGTAACAAAAGCTTTACCCAGTCATCAAAAAGATACTTACCCTGGGCCCCTTTTCACCAGAATTGATCCCCATATCAAGGGAATGGGAAAGGAAAGACTCTTCTACTAAGAAACAGATGAGAAAGGCAACAGAATCTTTGCTCACTCAGCCTTTTGTAAAGCTAAAGTAATTCTTCTGAACTTCATTGACTTATTTTACATGTGAGCAACTTGAACAACATACAGTTTAGTTCAATGTCTAGGAAATACCAAGCACTACTGCATCGATGTACACAATCCGTCAGGAAGGACACCCAGCACTGTCATTTTCTTTATAAAATAGTACATCCCTGGATTCACAGTGTGAGAGAAAGGAAAAAAAAATATATCAATGGAATAGCAAAGCTACCAGCCACCAGTTCCACTGGAAGTTTCATTTAAGGCAAGGAAAGAAACATGCCTTTGGAAGGTCACTTCTAGCTGTAGCAGCCATGGTCATAAGTTTTGCTTGCTTGATTCATCGAATGTTTTCCCTAGCCATTCTTTGATTGTGAAACATAAACAAAAAAACAAAAGCAAGTGACAACTTGTATTTTAGCATTCATTTCAAGCCAATATTCTTATTTGCAACAGCAAATAATAGTAAATTTTTTGAAGTTACATAAAGAGGAATAGAAAAGGTAGGAAACCGAAGGATGGAGACATTTGACTGGCACATATTCTCTGATGACCTAAATGTATAACTCCTGAGTTCATGAAAACATTGCTGTCTTCAAGGCAAGTTACCACCAAACCCAAAAGTTTAGCTTTGATCTTTCAAACAGTAACTTAGAAAAACTGACACAATAGATTCTTATGCTTGATGGCAACAACCATAGTCATATGGAGCACATTTCAGCTGTGGCATTTTAAGTCTTCATGGAAAAGCACAGACCACTGTGAAGGACTTGCTTTGGTCACTTGTACTGAGATAAGTAATGTTTCTCAGACTGCAGAGCATTCAGCTTCAACTGCACAGCATATGCACCTCAATTCTATGAGAATATACAGCAGGCTTCAGCCATAATGACCTGACTTTAGCCACAGGATATCCAAAAAGGCAGCACTTCCAAATGCAAAGAGAGCCTCAATTTTCTTGGATTGTGTAATGACATGTTGTAAGGTAGTCAGCGTGCATCACTCCATATCCATTACATTGCACTTCACTAAGACTCATTGGCAACCTGGCCTAATTTAGTGAGAATGTTTTCAGCTTTTTTCACACACTGGCAAATATCACATCATTTCTTGAAGCCACGAAAGTTGACATTCAGATTGCATTTGTACTGCTAGGCACAAAAAGAAACCCATAGACTATTCATGTTGAAGGACAAAGATTCATGTGCACCAGTAATGCAATATGCAACGCACATTTAGCAGGATGTTATCAAGGTCTCAGGTTACTCCAATGGAAGAGCAGATTTCCAGCTCCCCTTTTGGAATTAAAATTCGCTGCTCGGCTATGCTGAGAATCTGCAAGAAGCATGAACTTCAATGTCTTAGAAAGCACAAAAATTTTTAGTTTACGTGGGTTTTCCTTACCCTTTTTATTTTGTCATTTCAGGTCCCTTTAAACCCTGTGACCATCTGTTTGGTAGCTGGCTAATTAGAATTGGAGTGTGGACCATCGTGGGTTTAACCTTAATTTGCAATGCACTGGTGTCTGCTACCGTTTTCGGATCTCCATTGGATATGTCCTCCATAAAACTTTTGATCGGTTTAATAGCTGTTGTAAATGCCTTGATGGGTCTGGCCAGTGGAGTACTGGCTAGCGTGGATGCATCAACTTTTGGTAGCTTTGCTCAGTATGGAGCACAGTGGGAAAGTGGAATTGGTTGCCAAATAACTGGCCTTCTCTCCATTTTTGCTTCTGAGGCTTCCATTTTGCTCCTTACCCTAGCTGCACTCGAACGTGCATTCTCTTTAAAGCATGCTGCAAAGTTTGAAACAAAATCCTCCATTGCTGGTGCAAAAATTGCCATTTTCTTTTGCTTTGTATTGGCACTAATCATTGCAGTGATACCGCTTCTCACTGGAAGTGAGTATGGGATTTCTCCGCTTTGTTTACCACTACCGTTTGGAGAATCCACTGCTATGAGCTACATGGTAGCACTGGTATTACTGAACTCCCTTTGTTTTCTGGTAATGACTATTGCTTATACAAAGCTCTACTGTAGTTTAGAAAAGGGAGAACTAGACAACATTTGGGATTGCTCTATGGTCAAACATATAGCCTTGCTACTTTTTACTAATTGCATTCTTTATTGCCCTGTGGCCTTTTTATCTTTTTCCTCCTTACTAAACCTCACCTTTATCAGCCCAGAAGTGATTAAGTCAATACTCCTAGTGATTGTCCCGCTGCCAGCATGTCTAAACCCACTGCTTTATATACTTTTCAATCCACACTTTAAGGAGGATTTTGGAAGTCTGCGAAAGCAAACTTTGTTATGGCGGAGATCAAAACACACTAGTCTGATCTCTGTGAATTCAGAAGACATAGAAAAACAATCTTGCGACTCAACACAAGCATTGGTGACCTTCACAAGTGCCAGCATATCGTATGATATGCCCACCAGCAATTCATTAATGCCATCATCCTATCAAATGACAGAAGGCTGCAATCTTTCGTCAGTCGCATTCGTTCCCTGTCACTAGTTTCAGTGGCGGTACAGAAAATATCTCTGTTTACAACATTTTTAACCCTGAAAGTAAGTGTGGATGTGTGCATACAGTCTTGGAGAGTACTTCTGAATTACAGTTACACACATCAGAAAACAGTGACAACACTTGTGGCAGGCTGAAAATCCAATACTTGAGCCTTCTCAGCCTGCTTCTGAAATCTGAGATGAAGAAAGAAACTGAGAGCTGCTGAAGTTTGTGCAGTTGTATTAGCTGCTCTCTTTTAAAGTAGCACTAGTCAGAAAGGGCATCAATTGGTCAAGAGCAAAAATAGCATGTTGAATTTATAACCTTCTTTTTTCAAAGCATCACCTGATATTCTCAGGGGTTGTGTTATTTTTTTTTTCCTGTTTATTGTAATTTGTTTTTAATAATAGTTTTTCAGTGCCATGATTATATTTATAAGCATCTGTTTATGGCCTTCATTCAGCAACATACCTAAATGGAAGAGCAGTCTGTTCAAAGTCCTAAAGGTTTCTGCAGAATACCCTTTGGTGAAGTTCCGTGTTTGATAAAGCTGATTAAATGGTTTAACTGGCATCAGGTTTGGATTTTGAAAGTCATCCAACTTGACAAAGCATTTTTAATTGTCAGCTAAAGGTACAAAAGGTAACACGATGTGAAAGAAGTTAATCAAAATCCTATTAAGCATTTAAAATGTTATTTTAAATGGCAAGGCATTGTCACATGGATATTTTTCTAATGAGGTTCTGCACAGTTTCATCCTGAATTGCTACCATGCTGGTAGAATTACTCTCAGAATTACTGATGATAACATTGGCAGATGACTCATACAATTTGAGGGTGGAAAATACTACATATAAAGTTATCAATAGAAAAAAATTGGCATGCTAAGAGCTATTAAAGGACACCAAAGGCACTCACATAGCGAGTTCATTTAAGGTAATTTTTCCAGGAACAAAAACTACAGACCTGCTCACGGCATGATCTCTGTCCTGTGAAATAGTGATTCTAGAAAGCTGCTAGTTCATGGTCATTGGTTAGTTGAATATTTAGAGGCCACTGTGACCTTTTGACTAAGGACAGTCAATATCCTGAGCTAAGGCGATATCAAGCAGGAGTGAAGAGGTTGTGTGATCTGTGTTCTTAGTGCTGATGCAAGCACTCCTGGGATATTTCAGTTATTTCATTCACGTACTGTAAAGAACATTGTGAAATTGAAAAGGATATGAATATCATAAACTTAAAGCAACTTAAGAAATAAGTGATTTGAGCACAGTTTGTAAGTAGCTGCTTCTGGGAAACAAGTTTGAAGGCAGAGGACTACTCATTTGAGGAGAATCTGATAAGATAAACTGGAAATTGACCTTAGGAGTATGGAGTATAGATATAAAGGTGCAAATTGTTGACAGAGGTGGTCATTAGCTAGTGAAACTATCTATCACTAAAAGTCTCTAAATTCAAATTGGATGTATTGCCAAAAAAGATAATTGGAGCAGCTGTTGAAATTCAGGGACTTCTGATGGTTTTAGTTTAGGAAAAGGCTAGATTAAAGTAACAGTTCTTCTCTGGCTTTAAATCTGTTATTACTTTGCTGAACCAGGGCATGTATGTTTACACATCAGAAGCATCCCAGTTAAAGAGAAGAGACGTCAGGTCCTTGCCAAGTCTACTGTTGAAATATCTTAGACAACAGAGTCACCTAGAATATAATTCTTTGACCTTGGCCAAGCCATTGGGGGATATTCCAGTATTCTTTTTTGGGAGCTGGCACCTTTTGCTTAAATGAGCTGATCATTTAAGACAGGAAAATGCACAGGAAAATTTTTTGTTAAAAATAGCTCCCTGAGGAGTAACATTTAATAGCCCAGTACTCACTGCTCAGTTAATGGCCATTCAACCTCCAGGTGAATGGGACTAATTTTTTAACATTACCAAGGTTAGGCTAGGCCCAGTAATTAAGGTAATCAGTTACAGATGATCTCTGTTGTTCATCTGTTTCTGTATATAAAACTTCCTGGGACTCAAAGGATGGATTTTCACAATGAAGAATTTGTTGCCAGCAATGGATATGCCTTGATTTTCATGTCCATTCACACTGGCATGTTTTCAGTTCTGCAGTTACAGATGGCATCAGTTGACTTTGGCTGACGTGTTCATCCTTCAGGAAAAAAAATGAATCAACTTCAAAATTATATACGATAAAGTCAGCTGAATACTTATCTTAATCCTTTATCTTTTGTGGCTTTTGAAGCAGTGCAGCATACAGCTGCAGAAGGATGCCTGAAACCCCTTTGGATTAAACAGAGAATCAGTCAACCATTGCACAATACTTATTACTATGTTTACTTAGCTTTAATTTAACTGGGGTCCATCTGTGCTGCACTGCTTAATGTCAGTGAAGTTCCTTTCAGCTTGCTGTATTTAAGAAGTTTGTAAAGAGATTTGAGAAGCAAAATAATGTTATAATTCTAAAGACTAGATAAAGAAAGCTTCTTTTATCAGAACTTTTTTAGCTTGCAGAAAGTCATAAAGGCTTTGTGTCTTATTTTTATAAGCATGTTTGAAATATTTTGATCAGATGTTTTAAACTTGAAATTGTTAAAATTCATTTAATAGATTTTTAAAGTAAAATGTGTAAATATAGAACTGTATTTATTATTACAGTGAAATGCAACAACAGTAAAGGACATGAGATTAAGCCCTGTACAGTTTCATATTGGTATTTGCTATATTTTCTGCTCATATATATTACTAAATTCATTATCTGTAAATAATATAATGTAAATGTGTAGTGATTGTAAATAGGTGACATGCTTTCTTTTCTATCAGTGTTTCAAACATATGTAAGTTGTAATAAAATGTGACTACACAGTAAAGAGCATTTAATCATGACCCAGCACCTCACAAAATGGTGTGCATGCTCAATTAATCCTTCCCGCATTATTGTAATATTTACACTAAACCTCCCTAGATGTCTGAAATTCTTGACAAAGTAGATAGTATGGTTTGTGTGCTCTCATTAGTTGTCCATGGAGCAAAAAAGACAGCAACAGTGTTTTGTCTCAACACAGACTGAATCTTTTACCAAAACTTCACTCACAGACCCTTATGAACAGATCCTGCTCTCTTTGCTTGCTCTTGTGTCTCAGTGATGACCTCTAACAACTGCCACAGCTAAGACTGGTACCTCCAGCTGTGGGACAAGGGTATGCACGAGGTCAGGCAATGAATGAGCACAAGTTACCCCCAAGCTTCAGACCACATGGACCACATGAGAGGTGAAGTTGAGCTGCACTGGGCTGCTGCTTCTGATGAGACAGCAAATTCTCCCACACGCTTCCTTATTTTCTCTCCGCCTCGTTATGTGGCAGGTCAAGTGGGTCATGGGATTACCAAACAGCTAGCAAAGTTCATCTGATACAGGACAGAGAGGCAGTAGCACTATGAGGTATGAAGTGGATGGAGGTGCTAAGGGCAAATGAAAAGTGGGGCCAGAAACATGGGACTGAGCAAGACCCAGATTGCTCAGGCTGCACTAGAACTTCCAGCTCAGTTGAATTAAAGGCAGGCAGTAGCTAAGCAGTCATATCATTATCTAGGCATCAAGGACAGATGAGATAATGGATGCATATCAGTTAGGAGAGACTGCAGCATGGGACAGTTACATGTGCTTGGTTTTTCAGAGATGGTGATTGTAGGTTATTTCTGTGAAGTACTTGAAAGAAAGAGGTAAAATAGCAATGAAGCAAAAACTCTGAGAAAGCAATTTTTTAGTCAGGAATTCATTCCATATGGCAAGTAGCAGATTACAAAGATTAAAAAAAGAAAGTAAAATTATCCTAGGTGTAAATGGATTCTAGCAAGGAATGTGCAGGTTCTCAAGATAGATAAGGAGGCTGGGTTGAGGAAGGTCGTTTCAGCCAGAAGGACCAGTAGAGAAGAAGTAATTTTGGTGGGTGAGTTTCAGAATAGTCTTATTGAGGTGGGACAGGACCAGCAGTGAACAGGAATAGGAAAGTCATTAATTATCTTTAGGAGATAAAAACAGAAGCATGACAAAGATTTCATAGGGGAGCGCATAACTCAGGAAGGAGAGGGGGCTTCAAGAGACAGCGTGGGTGAAGGTTTATGGGGATATTAAGAAGTTTTGTGAAGGATGAAGAGCTCAGAATGGATATAAAAAGATGGAAGCAATAGAAAACAGGCAGAAAAGATGATTTCACATGCACCTAATTTGCACCACATGGTGTAAGCAATATTAGAGCCAGGGGCCATAAGGAAGAAGAATGAAAATGTGTTACTTTAGGAGGAAAATACTACAACTTGAATAAGAAGAAGGGAAGTTAAAGCCTAAGTGCAGAAGGGAAAAAGAGGCAGCAAGCAACATCTTGATATGTGGAGAAAAGACCGACGTACCAAATAGGGAGCAGTAGTGCCTGAAGTCACAACGTCAGTGTTCTGGCCAGTCTCCTATCGCACTTGTGTACAGGTGACTTCTCCCTTAAAGCACTTGTGCCACAGATATGCAGTGTTCTCTGCAATAACAACTGAGAGTTTATTGCAGGCTTGCGCAACAGGTTATTTAGGAAAAGCAGACAGACCGTGCCACCTGTTTGCTGCTCTAGCTCACTAGATACGTTAGTGAGTTTTGTTTGGGAACTCAGTCCTCAGAGAAGTTTCAAGTGGCCTGAAAAAGAAAAAAGAGCTAGTCAGAGATACAGTGAAAGCCATAAAGAGGGTGGGATCACCTCTAAGAATAATGAATGGGGATGAAGGCCAAGCCTTAGCAGACACTAGCAGAGAAGCACAGAGAATGATGCCGCACAAGCAGTGCTGTGTCAGGTGGGCATGCAGCTTCAGACTCCACTCCCAAAAGAGGGGAGAACATCCCTGATTAATCTGGTGGTCATACTTGATCTGAAATGGAGACCAACCACTTGCACAGTTCTTGCTGTTCCTGCTGCTCCAGGTTTTCTTCCTGCTTTAGTGACCTACATACACTAGACAGCAAGAAAGCTGCTGCAATACAAAGTGTCAAGCTACCTCCTATCCATAGGAATTTCAGCTTAACTGGGGCACCACTTATTTCCTCTGATTGTTACATGAAACGCTGGAACAACAATATCATAATCAGAATTTCTCTGTCATCAGTTTAGGTTGCTATATGAAAGTTAAGGTGCTGAAAGTTTCATTGATCAATCACTTAAGAAAGGCTCAAATCATTAAAAACATAGCAGAATTAATGTTTTCCTTCAGGAAAGCACTGGAAGACAAGGAATTAGAGACAGAAGAATAAGGATATGGATATGGGAAAGCTAACAAAAAATGGAATTAGGAACACAACAGCAGCAACAGCAGTGTTAGAAAATCCTTTCCAGATCCATAAA